GGCACTGAGATGATTCCAGGTCGTGCTGGGCTGTGGTGTGGTTTTAGGGAGCAGGGTAATGGCAGCCAGTCTAGGAAAGAGTTGGAATTAGCAGTTCTAGAGTGGAAGAGCAGCTGTTGGGTCCTCCCTCGCTCTGCCATGCTCAAAGATACCTCCATACGTACCTCTGAGTGAAGGGTAGGGCTGGGGGCTCGTGGGACTCCTAGGGGGCACAGGGAAGATGTGGCCAGTGGGTAAGATCCTGACCTTCACCCTGTGCTTGCTGCTGTTTGGGGCTCCATGTGCAGAAGCAGCACCTTGGGGTGCAGTGAGAAAGGAAACTCTAGGGAGAAAGTGTGGGACTGGGGGGGAGGGGGACAGGAGGGATGAGGCTGTGCGGTGTGCTTGCAGGACCTGCAAGTGGCTGAGCTCCTGAGAAGTGGCTGTGTCACCTCCCCCATGTCCCCTCACCCCAGCAGAAGTTCCCTTGGCTCCTGCCACAGCCTTACACCACAGGGAGCTCCGAGCCCCTGCGCTCTCTAAATAATGCAGGTAGGTGAGTGCCATCCGCCGGGGCTGCGGATAAACACAGTAAATGGCTGAGAAATGGAGCGTGCCTTTGGGGAGCAACCTCTGCGCTCTGCTCAGCCGCCCCGTCCCTCCCTGCATCCCGCGTGGCCTTGCAAAAGGATGGGGACATGGGGGGGAGGATGGAGCGGAGCTGCAGTTTCTGTTGGAGCATTGGAAATTGCATTTCACGGCCGAGCAGGCTGGGATACCAACTCCTGCACCGCACGCCGGGCGCTCGGAGAGGAGATAAGATTTGATTAAGAAGGCCGCTATTAATTTATGGCAAGTACACTCATGATAGCAGAGAGGTTGCTTTTAATTAATAGCCAGAAGGAGATTTATAAAGCTCTTGGTCTCAGCGGGGGGAGAAGGGGAGGGAGGGAGAACGCAGGAAAAGGAAAGGAACAAAGTGAGTCGCGAGGATTAATGGACACATCTGCAATTATAAGGCGTTTTATTGGGAAAAAGGAAAAAAAAAAAGATGTTAAAAACACCCCAAGGAGCTGCACTGGGGCTGAGATGGGTGGGGGTAGGGGACTCTGGGCATGGGGTTGTAGGATGGTGTGAACTAGCTGCTGCCTGGTGCTTTGGGGCACAGAGACCCTTTGCTGGTGGCTTTTGGGACAAATCTGTGTTCACCAGGTGGATGAAATGAAGGCTGTGCTGTGCCCGGGGTGGCACAGGGTCAGTGTCCCCGTGGGTGAGTGGTGCTCTGCAGGGTCTGCATCCCCACTCCTGCATCAGAGCCTGGTGTGAACCCATTGCCCCGTCCCTGAATCTGGTGATTCAGTGGGAAAGCTGACAATGCGGGGTGGTGCTGTGGCACAGCACAGTGAGGGGCCCATTCTGTCCCCACCCCTTCATCCTCAGCTCCATGGCACGGGCGCGCCGAGCTCCGCATCTCCCCAGGTGCCGGCAGCGCTCGGCATTTCAATTCCATGTTTGCTTTTTATCAAGGGGAAGAGGCCTCGTCTCAGGAATACTAATGCTCCCGGCAGCACGGGGAGTGCTGCTCATCTACCAGCACCTGCTGGCACTGCGTGGTCACCGTCACCATCCCAGGAGGGGGCTGCAGTGGGGACATGCGTTGGCAGGGATGGGCTCCATAGTGCATCCTATGGGAGCAGCGGGTCAGGGGGCAGCTGGTGGGGCCACCGGGGATGGCACTGACCGGTCCCATGGCTGGGAGCACTGCAGGGCCCCATGCATGTCACCCATGGGTGCTGTGCATTGGGGCAGTGGTGTTAACCCCTTCCCTGCCGCCTCAATCCATCCCCCCTGTATCCCCCAGCCCCCAGATGCAGAGCGGCTGCTGGGAAGCTGCGCCGCCGATGCGTTACACAAATGAATAATAAAAACAAAGGAAAATTACCCTCTTTATTGAAACTCGTTTTATGAATAAAACAATTATTCTGGTAATTGAAAAAATGTGTCGTTAAATTAAATGCAGTGGTTCCTATTAAAATTTTAGTGGATTTCTTCTTCTCCGTTTCTTTTTTTTCCCCCTCTTCTCCTTTCCCCCTCCCTCCCCTGCCTCTGCTGGCGGCTAAAGGCTGGTAATTATAGCAGAGGGTTTTGCTTTCTCTTTATTGTTTTTTAATCTCCTCGTGCTGCGTAGCACCGGTGATAGTCTGATGCAGAAGAGATTGAGCTCCATCTCCCCTTACTTAGGGGGGAGCACTGGGGGATAGAAGGGACTGTACAGTGGCACTGCCAGGCAGAGACACCCCAGCAGGAATTAGGGACCCCCAGGGCTTGGCTAGTGCCAGGGCTGGTGGTGTCAACCCTGCAAAAGGGAATGGGGATGCAGACCTTCCCACCCCCCACTATGGTTTTGGGGTGTCCCTATGGCTGTGTGATGAGCAAGGGTGGGTTCAGGTGCACCCAGCTGTGCCTTACCCTGATTAATGGTAATTAGCAGGAAACAGGCGCTGAGCTGATCAGCTTCTGATTAATGTGCTGGGGAGGGGAACAGCTTGGTGTCCCCGAGGGGCAGCGGGGTGGTGGCCCTGTGCTGAACCCAGGAATTGAGGGGGGCTGCAGTGCCCCTGGCAGGGCTTCAGGCTGGGTTCCCCTGGGCTTAAACCTCTCGTCCCTTCCCATCAAGAGGGATTTAGAGCTGGAGGAGATGCTCAGATCCCAGCTCTTCCATTACGCCCTGGTATTAGGATCCATTACTGCTCTTTTGGTGAAGCTGAGGGCCCCTGCCCTATATCCACAAGCCCTCCCCGTGTTAATGCACCGGCTGTGGGCTCAGACCCAGCTCCCAGCGGTCATTATGTAAATAAAGTGCAGGGGCAAAGATTTTGATCCCATTAGGTTGGATTAGTGCTTTGCGAGGCCTTGGCATTAAAATGTCAGCGGCAGCAAAGGGAGAGAGCAAGAAGTAGTGAGCTGGGTCACCTCCCTTCCCCTTCCTGCCCTCCTTCCCTGTTACCAGCACTTGGCATCCCATTATCCTGTCCATCACCACGGATGGTTCGATGGTTCGGGTGGAGGCAGCAGTTGCCCATCTCCCTCCTCTGTGCTGTTAGGTGGAGCTCTCATTGTGGAAGGGACTGAGAGGGGCTGTGCTGGGCTGGCATGGCACAGCATGGCATGGTGTGGCACCTCGGCGGTGGTCCCAGGGAGCTGAGTACGTGCCCATGCCACTGGCAGATGTGTGCAGATGTTCCCAGGGCCACCTCTCCCTCTCGTTGATGCCTGTGTTTGGAAAGTGATGAATTTCTGCACCAACTAATTAGTCTCTAATTAGCTAGTGGTGTGTAAACAGTCACAACAGATGGGGGAAAGAATGAATTAGCAGTAATGACCCTTTGGTCGGGGGGACGTGGCTGTCGTACCCCAGGAGTGCTCCACCATATCCTTGACCTAGCTGCCCCAGCTCTGTGCTGGTGTTGAGCTGTAGGTGCCCGTGTGTCCCATGCTGGGACCTCACCACAGCTCATGCGTGGGAAATTTCCACTCCTCCTGCTGCCCCCGGTCCCTGTGCCAGGGCACAGCGGGCACTGTGGGCACGGATGCCCTTGTCATGCAGCAGGCAACAGGCAGGCAACGCGTGGCTGCTGGGGGTGACGGGAGCTGCTCTGTCCGAGGCAGTGGCGTTGACCTTCGTGGGTGGATAACGATTGCATGATCAATAGCAGAATTAGGAGACACCGCCTCCTCTGCACCGCTTTTCACCCTTTAATGCAGAACAGATGGCTCGGATGCTTCAAAGCGAGAGGAGACTTAGCTGCTTAAAATCAAATTAGGATCTATGCAAACAGCGCGCCGGCCCTGGGGAAGATGCACTGGGAGCACTGTGCTGCGCCTGGCTCTGCAACACCAGCGCATCAGGCATGGCACAGCACAGAGTTGGTGCTGTGGTGGGGGTGGGGGGATAAATGGCAGCACAGCCCCACAGCCGGGTGTTCCCATGAGGGCTGTGCCTGTAGGTTGGGTCCTATCGCTGTGGTCCTACAGCTGCAGTGATGCAGTGGGATCCAACGTGGGTGAGGCCCTGGAGCTGCAAGCTGAGCTTCTCTGCTGCTTGACCAGGACATGTGGGCACCCCCAGGTACATGCAGTGCACACCCTGCATGGACACAGCTCCTGCACCAAGGTGCACGTGTGCATCCCTGCAAGCCTGGCTCTGCCCCCTGCAATGTGTAGGGCAGGGTCAGGGCTGCTATGGAGTTCAGCCCTGATACACATCCAGAGGGCAGTGGGAAAGGAGCATCCCCTGCCAACTGAGCACTGCTGTGGGGGGTCAGGCAGGAGGGTGAAATGAAGGAGGAGAGGGAATGGATTGCCCCCTAGGAAAGCAGTGGTGGGGTGTGGGGCCTCTGAGCTCCTGCAGAGCCCAACCCCATTGAGGGGAGGTGGGCTGAGCCCCATATCCCACTCCTGGGCACCCTGGGGCCAGTGCTGCTGTGCTGCCAGCTCACGGTGTGCAGTGCCTGGGCTGGAATGCAGCCTGTGCACACAAGAAAGCAGAGCCCGGCCCCAAAGTAAAAACCCGAAGCTGTGATTGAAAGCGCACTTGAAAGCTGCTGGGGAATATGAATGTGTCTTTGAAGTAAAAGGGCCTCCATTTGTTAAGCAGAAAATGGAGCTGTGTGTTTCGATTTATAGTTTTACTTAGCAAATAAAACAGGAGACGAGTAAGTGTTTATGTCTTGCTCTGCTCCCAGCCCCTCCGCCCTGTCCCCCCCCCCCCACCCTGAGTTAAAAGCTCCGCGCTTCTGAAGCGCTACAAAGGCAGCCAGGAATAAAGCAAAGAAAGCAGCTTAGACAAACCCTAGATGGGCTAAGCTGGTGTCGATAGGCTCGGGAAATGGCTGGGCTGGGCAGCGGCCAGGTGCGGGGGTCTCTGGGCTGGGAGCTGCACTGGGGGGAGCACAGAGGGGGCACAAACTGGGCACATCGCTCAGGGCTGCTGGAATAATCCTGCACCTGAGATGATGGAGTTGGGGTCCTGCTGCTGCACTGCTGTGGGGCAGTGAGCTGTGGGGCGGCTCTGAACCCTCTCCCTTCTCTCTCCCTGCAGATGATGTGTCCCCATATTTTAAGACGGAACCGGTGCGCAGCCAGGTCCACCTGGAGGGGAACCGCCTGGTGCTGACATGCATGGCGGAGGGCAGCTGGCCTCTGGAGTTCAAGTGGCTGCACAACAGCCGGGAGCTGACCAAGTTCTCCCTGGAGTACCGGTGAGTGCCCACCCGGGGATGCTCTTGGCTGGGGGTGTGCGTGGGGACCGTCCCACCCCCATGCTGGGGGCTCATCCTATGCCCTATGCTGGGCCCCATCACTGCTGCATGGAGACGTGTTGGTGGCACAAGGGCAGCACGGAGGCAGAAGCAGCAGATTAGCATGCCGGGAGCTGCCTGCTCTGTTTGGAAAGCAAACGGCAGCGGAGCCATGGATTTAAGCGGGTCAACATCGAGAGGAGGCATTTGTACAGCACGGGATTAATGCCGAGCACAGATCATGTCCCACCTGCCCCATCCAGCCCCAAGCACTGTCCGATTCCTCTGCCAACCCTGCACCACAGCCCACATCAGATTCGTCTTGAAATTGTGCTGGGCACCTCTCGCTGTCTCTTCTGAGTGTGTGTCATCCTCTCTGTTTTAATCAATAATTCAGCCCAAGACAAGCCATTCCCCATTTAAAGGCGTTGAATCCGAAGGCTTCGCGTTGCTGTAGCAACGCGGGGCTGCTCCGGGATGCCAGGAATGCAGACAATGTGGCTGGGTGATGTCCCCTCCCCAGAGCTGGGTGCCACACTGGAGACATTACTGTGGTAGCTGTGGGTCCTGGAGACCCCATGGGTGCCCCTGCTGAGTCCAGCAGCTGCTGCTCATCGATGCCCCAACACCTTGGCTGACCCCATGGATGCTCACCCTGATGCTGGACGCCCAGTGGCACCACAGGCAGATCCCTTGTCCTTCACCCTGCTGAGCCCTGTGATGTCCGCAGCCCAGTGGGGGTGATGCAAGGCGTTATGGGGTTCAGTGGGGTTGTGGGAGTGGGGTGGTGGAGATGCAGACCCCATGCAGGGAGTTGCCCCAGCGTGTGCCCATGTCCCCACATTGCCCTGGGATGGCCCAGACCCTGCATCCCCCTGTCCCTGGGTCAAGGTGACTGCCATCCCCTGAGCCCTCTGCCTCCAGCTCCAGCTCACAGGCAGAAAGGATTAACGAAGGAAGCGAGAAAACAAGCAAACACACGAGGAAAACCCAAACAAACCGAGCTGCTGATCTGCAGCTAATGAAGCAAATGGGCTCTATGCAAATCACTGCCTGGCTCTCACCCGGCTGTGCCGTGGTGGGGACGCAACCTGCCTGCATCGGCTTAACTCAGCACGGCGTGTGCTGCCCGTCCGTGGCTCTCTGAGGGGATTTCGTGTGTCGAGAGGAGACTTTGGATGCCTTGTCTGCAATTGAAGGCTGCCGGTGAGGAAGGCAAAGGACCAAAATTAGTTATGATGGGCATAAATTGAATTTTAATAGAGATGTAGGTGGCGCAGAGCCAGCCTGCTCAGGCAGTGGGAAGGTGGTAATTAAAAGTTAACGAGTTTAGAAACAGAGTAATCCTTGGAGAGGGGAGAGCTGGGGCTGATGGCTGGGAGTGCGGAAGGGATGCTGGGGCTGGGGGTACCTTGGTGGTGTGGGGTGCAGCCAGCACCTCATATGGGACTGGCACATACCCACATGTCCCTGCTCCTTGGGACACCCCCAGGGCCCGTAGCAGCTCACACCTTCTTGCCAGCAAGGCCACTTGCCCAGGGAGCCACGCTTCCTGGCCAAGGCAGTGTCATTGAGCCTTCGGCCTCAGCATCCTCCCTGCTCCTCCCTGCGTCCCTTCCTGCAGCAGTGCATCCCGGCTGCACCTCCAGTTGCTCCCAGCCCTGTGCCTTTTACTTGTTTTACCATTTTGCCCCATCTAGCCATTTTCCCAGGAGCTGGGGCTCATACCCCCTCTGCTGCCCCTGTCGGTCTGCTTGCCTGGACGAGCTTGCTCCCACGTTGTAAGGCGAGGAGCTGCTCTCTCCCAATTTGGCAGCGTGTTTCCATAGCAACTGCCCTTTCCTTCCCGCAGCAATTCAGCCGCCAGCTTGCGACGGAGCGACTCGTTGGCGTGCAGTGAAGGGCAGGTGGGGAATGGGCTCTGCAGGTCCCTGGTGCCGGGCCAGCAAAGGACAAGGACATCCCTCTGCGTGCGGGTGGAGCTGTCCTGCTGAGGAATATCCCGTGGGAGCACGAGGGATCTGGGACCAGCCTGGTTCTGTGCATGCATGGAGCAGTCCCTCACTTGGGAGCATCCCTGGGGACCATGTGTGTGTGAAGCCGTGCTCTCTTGGGAGCATCTCTGGGGACTGCAAGCAGTTGGGGATTGCAGGGTGGTGGGGGCCAGGCTGGTTCTGTATGTGCATGGAGCCGTCTCCTCGGGAGCATCTCTGGAGACCACAGGCGGGAGGGGACCACAAGTAATGGGGACTCTGCACACACAGAGCCATCCCCCCATGGGAACATCCCTGGGAGCTGTAGGGAGGCTGGGGACCCTCCTGGCTCCACGTGCAGGCAGATCTGCGTCCCCCTTGGGAGCACCCCCAGGGGACAGTGCGCATGCACAGAGCTGTCCCCTCCTTGGGAGCATCGCTGGGGTCTGGAGACCAGCAGTGCCATCCCCACTTACATCCTCCATCCATGGGATGCGTGGGGGTGGCTCTCCCATGGGACCCAATGCCTGGGCACCATGGAGTGTGTCCATCCCTTATGCTCTGCTCCCATGCCCTGGCACAGCAGTACTGCACTCTCCAGGGCCATCTCTGTTCTGCACCATTGCTCTGGTGCTGGGCTCTCCCATGAGCTCTCTCCACAGCCTGACTTCTTCTCGTACCAGGAATCATAACATGCAAATCAGGCAGCTCGATGCCTTTAATGAAATCCTCCGAAGGAAAGCGTTTCTCTGGTGAATTGAGGATATTTATTTCTCACAGCAGAAATTTAACATGCAGATTAGTTAGGTCTGGTAATTCATCACATGAGATTGTCCTATTAAGGACTGCATCGAGTCCTGCTGCCTTTGGAAATTGCCTTACACACAGATTACCTCTGGACAGACTCCCGTCCATGGAGAAGCATCTCCTATCTGCTCAATCAGCCCTTTTTCCTTTCCCCACATCCATCCATGCCCATGAGGAGCCCAGCAGCTCCAGAACCCTTTGCCAGGAGCTCAGGAAAGCAAAAATCCAGCTCTGACACATGCCAGCCTCAGCACAGCGCTGCTCACCTCACTTCTCCAGCAAAACAACATCTGCACCACCGATCCTCCCAGCGCTCCCCTTGGGCAAAGCGCAGCCTCACGTCTCCTTGCCAGGATTCCCCCCCCCCAGCTCTGGGTTGGTTTGCATAGCGAGGGCTGACCCAGGAGGGACAGATTCATCCCTCTGCAGACAGATTCATCCCTCCGCTCTGACCCTTTGCTGGGTTGGGGTGGGTTGGGCTGTGTGTCCCTCAGGGATGCAGGGAGCGCAGTGTGATACAAACCCAGCTCACTGCCAACTATATGGCCTTCAGAGGCTCCCAGTTATTTGAAAACTGTACTTTGTCCTCAGTTTTTGTAAAAGATAGAGCCAGGACCCCCCTACAAAGACACAGCTTGGGGGCATGTAGGGTGCTCTACCCCTGCCCCCCCAATGCTGTGACACTGCCCACCAGGAGCACTGTTGCTGGCTGCTGGGTGAGCTCTGTGCCAGCCCAGGTGTGAAACACAGCCTGGGGCACTAATTGCCATTCATTAATATAATTAACAAGAGTTGATGAGCAGAGGGAGGGGGGAGGTTGCAGGCAGGCTAAGTGAGTGCTGTACCCTGCTGTGTGTTGGGGCTGCTTGTGGCTGTGGTGTGTGTGACAGTGCAGCACTTCAGAATGGGTAGGGGCAGCTTGGGGGGGGACTTTGCTGGTGCCCCTGGATGCAGGAGCTCCTTGTTAATTGGCTCAGGGCTCCAGCAGGGCCCATGGAAGCAGCAATTCGTGGAGCCCTTGCAATTCCATCACCTGAAGGAATCCTTTCTGGTGTGCAGTGAGATGATGGCTCCAGCCACATGTGTCCAAACAGAGCCCTCTCCGATTGGGAGCTAATTGAGATTCAATAACACGCTTAATGGGGGCTGATGAAATACTGGGGGGTGTATTTAAGCTGTATTGAGCGGGAGCCCAGCGCAGGGTGAGGTGCTGGGGCACATGGCTCGGGCGCTGGGAGTCGTTAAACCTCTGCTAAGTGTGTTTAATGCTCACTTGACATTTCATTATCACACAGTAACTATTCAAATACATGTCCCCTCTAGAATTAATTAGTCGTTATACAGGATATTAATCAAAGGGGGCCGTGCCAGCGCGCTTCTATCCAAAATCTGATCCAGCTGTTGCTGTTACTGTGCTGCATTGGAGGAACTGCACAGATTTCTGTACTCTTCTGGCTTTAAATCTGATGGATCAAATCCTTTGGCTGGTGCTTTTCCCGGCCCCTTTCCACCCCCTCAATCTAATAATAATTCTGCAGTGTCAGCCCCACGCTTCTCAGCAACCCTACAATAAAAGAGGCACAAGCATCAGCCAGGGCTGGGGCAGGGCTGTGCTGAAGTGTGGGGGCCCTGTTAGTGACACTACGGTAACAAAGCAGTGTGCTGGGGAGCAGAGCAGGAAGCATTTTGGGGGCCCTGTGCCTGTGGTGTTGGTGCTGCCAATGCCTTGCCAGGGTTGTGGATGAGAGGGGCTGTGGCTCGTCTCGGTGCTGTGCCATGTGGGCACCGCAGTGGGAAGATGAGGAGGGGTCCCTGCACAGGCACCCATGGGAGGTGTGTGTGGGGGGGTGTCTTTGGGATTGCTTTTCCTTTGGGGTGCCCAGTGGCATTCCCTCTGTGGTGAATGGGTGTGATTTCTGTGCCCCAGATTGAAAGCAGCTGCTTCTTTGGGATTGGGGTTAGGGCGTTTGCAGCTCTCATTCTGGCTGGAGCCCCATGGGGGTTGGGAAGCTTCCATGTGCACAGCTGAGCTGCTGACGGGAATGGGGGCAGGCACCTCTGGGTTGCATAGATGGATGGAGAGGATGTGGTTTCTGATGTGATCCCATCCATCTGCCCCATCCTCCTCCTGCTGCTGGCAGCTCTGTGGAGCTGTGGTCCCCTGGCGTGTGGCTTCTGGCTTCAGGGCCTCCGGTGTGAGCGTGGCACAGCCGCCTCCTGACTGAGCCTTGAGACTGTGGCTGTTTGCCATCTCGGCATGTTTTGATGTGTGGGTCATTTCTTGCTTCAGAAGTGCTTTTCCCCATGCACAATGCCTTGTCAACCTCTGTCCTTAAAAGCAAAACAAACAAACACTGAAACAGAGGCGTCAGCAGCCAGGGATGCTCTGGGAGTGGGGCAGGACCTCTATCCCTGCCTGAACCCATGCAGCACATGCCTGTGGGCAGAGCAACTGGGTTAGGTCAGCTTTTGGGTGCTGCAGCCCCCAGCTGGAATCAGGGGGGCCGTGCACCGCACCCTTTGTGCCTCCCTGCTCCTCCCACCCCGTGAGCAGCACAAATTCAATCCCTGTCCTCCTGTGGCCACGCTCACGGAAATTGCATCGGAGCGTTGTGGGATGGAGGCTCTGCAGAAGCCAAGTGGCAGAGAACAAAGTCTCTGCTCACGTTGCTTAATAACTGCAGGCCAGACTGCGCCCGGTAATTGATTTCCTTTCTCTGGGCTATTTTCATCCGCTTAGGTGTGTGCAAAGCTGGTTGCTGTAATAGCTCCTCCAGCTCCAGCGGCACGGGGCCAGGGCTCTGCTAATTGGGCTCGTGGGGGCGAAGCCTCCCCGTGCCCATAGGGGGATGTGGTGCTGCAGAGGGGATGTGTCACATCGGGGGGGTGCTCTGAGCATGGTGGGGGTGCGGAGGGAAGGCCAGGGGGTTCCGTGCATGGGGCTCACGTGAACATCGGCTGCCGTCCGTCTGTCTGTCCGTCCGTGCGTGTGGTTGGGAGTCGCGGTGCGTGCGTGTGATTTATGGGCGAGGACAACACAAGGAGAGCATGCCCATTATTTCTGGTGTCCGCATCCGTTCCTGACAGCTCCCTGGAATTGAAATATCTTATTTAAAGCCTGCAGGGATCGTTTTAAATATCAGCCGTGACACTCAAGGACTCGTTCCCAAAGGGCATCCTCCCTTCCGGGTGGGGACGGGCAGTCCCTGGCACGCAGTGTGCCCTTTGCTGGGGCTTTGTGACCCCTCCCCCTCTCATGTCCCCTTTTCATGAGAAGATGGGACCCCTCCAAATCCTGCCCTGTCCATGCCCATATGGGTGGCAGTGTTGTGCTGTGCAGGGGCTGCCACCACCACCATGCTTGGCAGTGGGGATACTGCTCTTCCCAGCAAGTTCACCCCTGCACGCCCACATCTTCCATTCCACACCCAGATCCCATAGGCACTATCTCTGTGTGCAAACCCAGCCTGGCCCTGCTCCACAGCACAGCTGTCAGGGCATCCCCAAAGTAGCCTGGGGGCAGAGCCCAGAGCCCACAGCTCCCATGTGCAATTCCTGCACATGGGGCAGGGGCTGAGCACCCACCCTGGCTCCGGGGCAGCCCCCATCCCAGCTCCCACACCAGGAGATCCCCAGCAGAGGAGACGTGTTCCTCATGCCTTATGAAAGTTTAATTTACGCTCTGTTATCAAAAGAACAAACAAAGCTCTGCTGCAACAGCCTGCGGCGTGCTTTAATGCAAGATTGGATTTCGGGCGAGGAGGGTTGGAGCTTTCTTATTTATTCCCTCTCCACTTTATCTCAGAGCACTCCCTGTTCGGGAGGCAGCGATGCAGAGCTGTCCCCCATGGGGCTGCTGTCTGTGAGACTGGGGGAGCTGCAGTCCATTCTGGGGGCATGGAGCAGATGGGAGTGTCCACCCCAGGGACATGGAATGACCCCTGGTGGTCTGGCGATGGTGGGGTGATGCTGGGTGGTGGTAGACGAGTGAAGATGTGGTTATTCCCTTTATCTGCTTATCAGCTTGCAGGTCTGGTGGCTGATAAGAGCAGCCATGAGGGCAGTGGGACTGATAAGGTGGCTCAACTGCAAAGCGATGCTCAGACTCTGGGTGTGTATGGGGCTGGGGAAGGGCTTTGGGCAGCTGGGATGCTCCGAACCCCCAGGACAGCCCCAGTGTCCAGCATCTGTGCCTTGATGAGGCTATTGAAGCTGTGTGTGTGTGTGTGGGAAGGGGCATCCCAGGCAAAGTGTTCCCACGTTGGTTTCATAGAGAAGGTGGAAAGCAGATTCCAGGCTACATCTCTGCTTTTGATGGCTCCAAACCATGCAGGTGGGAGGTGGATGGGCCAGGAAGGAGCATGGCCATGTGCTTGGCAACAAAACTGAGCCTCCTGGGAAAATGGGTTAGGGCTAGAGTTGTTCCTGCAGCATGCATGGCCTTGCCTGCATGCACAGAGGGGCGCATTGCACACACACACACACACACCTCCAGCAGCCGCTTTTTGGGGAGGGTGTCAGCACCTGGTGCAGCAAGTGCAATGCTGGCTGGCCTGGGACCTGCAGCCTCTCTCGGGGGCAGTGTGCTGAGTGCCCCCCAATCCTGTAGGTACATGATCACCTCGTTGGACCGCACGCATGCTGGGTTCTACCGCTGCATCGTCCGCAACCGGATGGGAGCCCTGCTGCAGCGCCAGACCGAGGTGCAGGTGGCCTGTAAGTGACAGCCATGGGATGGCACACTGGGCAGCCCTGAGCTGGGAGGGGTGGGAGCAGGAGGGGCTGCACCGGGGGGGGAGGAAGGGGGGTAGGAGATCAGTGTGGGGGTTATCGGGGTGCTGGGGATGGTGGCTCTGTGTCCCCTCTTTGCCATCCCTTCCCTGTGGGATGCCCCCAGTCCTATCCTCATCAACCTCTACACGACAAATCAAGGAACTAATGGGAAATTAATAAGGCAGCTGCGCTAACAACTAATGATAATGGCAAAGTCGTTAAAAAGAGATTCTTTACATGTTTTTAATTACAGCAATTAAGGGAAGTCAATAAAAATCCCCCCACTTCCCATTCTCAATGCACCCTGCTTCGTTTCTGCTTTTCTCAGCTGTGCAGGGCAGTGGTGCTACTACCATGTGTGTGGAGCCAAGGTTATGCTTTGCTTTTCCCTGCAGCGATTGACGAGTGGTGCCAGGGCTGAGCCCTCCTTACTAAACCCACAGCACGGTCCCTGTGGGTGATGGGGCTAATCAGCTCTGGGTGCTGCAAGGATGGCTCTTGAGATGAGGGGAGAGCAGAACCCAGCATGGTCCTATTGCATCTTTGTGGGGAGCCCGTCCTTGTTGCCTCCAGCCTGCTCCTTGCTGGGGATGGATCCTGCTGGGTCCCCATACTGCCGCTCACTGATGCTGCTCTCTCATGTGTTCTGCAGACATGGGGAGCTTTGAGGACAGTGAGACAGAGCAGAGTGTGTCCCATGGGGAGGCAGCTGTCATCCGGGCACCCCGCATTGCCAGCTTTCCCCAGCCCCAGGTCACCTGGTTCCGTGATGGGCGCAAGATCTCCCCCAGCAGCCGAATGTGAGTACCCACCAGTATAGCCCAGTACCTCCTCAGTGTCCCCTCAGTATCTCCCCAATGCTCTCCCAGTATCTCCTCTGTGTCTTCCCTCTCCTTTCCCACTATCTCCTCTGTATCCTCCCTACATCTTCCCAGTACTTTCGCAGTACTGCCCTCCCTATACCCCCATACCTCCCCAGTATCCCCCCACTATCTCCCCAGTACTATCCCAGTATCTCCCCTGTGTCTTCCCAGTACTCTGCCAGTACCCCCATCCCAGTATCCCCCCAGTATCCCCCCAGCATCCAGAGATAGTCCATTTCCCTCGGCTGCCGCCGTCCTTGTTCAACCAGCAGTGAGGATGTTTAACAGATGTCTTGAGATTGTTGCACTAAAACCCAGGGAGGGACTTGGCGACTGTTTGTCATTAGGGAAATAAATTTAACAAAAAAAAAAAAAAAAGAAAAGAAAAAAAGAAAAAAAGAAAATAGCCTTGGGGGAGGGAGGCAGGGGGAGCTCAGCACGTGCCGGGGCAGCAGCTGATGTGGAGGAGCGTGCACGGTGTGTGCATGTGGGGTGTCCCTATGGGGCTGCATGCTGAGCCCATCGCTGGCAGCGCGGCGAGCGGGAATTGAATTTGTAACCCACATTATGCAGGAATTGAACCGGTCTCTTTTCTATTTGCAAAGCAGGATTGAGGAGATAAAACTCCTTTATCTCATATTTAATGGTAAAATATATTCCACTCTCCCCCCCCCTTTCTCCCCCCCCCAACCCCAAACCATTTTATGTTTCCAGCAGATTGGATCATTCCTGTAAGAATAAATAAATAAATAAACTGGGCCCTATTAATCTGCACTATCCACTGTGCTCCGTGGATGCTGTGCATGGGAGGGTGGGTGGGCAGTGTGGGGCTCAGTCTGTGGCTCATTTGTAGGGTCAGTGGCTGAGCTGTGCACGTGATGGGCACATATTTAGGGTTGGGATGGTCTGATCCCATCTATACCCATGGGACGAGGAAATGAGGGTCCCAACACATCAGCTGTGTCCCCATTGGGTGTGGGACGGTCCGATCCCATCTCCCCCCATGGGGTGGGGTAATGAGGAGGTCTTGATTGATCCTCTTTTATTTCACATCCCCTATGCCATGCTCACCCCACAGAGCCATCACACTGGATAACACCCTCGTCATCCTCTCCACGGTGGCCCCAGATGCGGGACGTTACTACGTGCAGGCAGTGAACGACAAGAACGGGGACAACAAAACCAGCCAGCCCATCACGCTCACCGTGGCCAGTGAGTGCCCCGCTCCCCCGGCGCCTCCTGGCTGCCACCCACCTTTAATTTGCAGTAAATCTCTTTGGAGGCTCCATTTCTGCTGACTTAACGGTTTGGCTGCCTCCAAATTTATTTAGGCACTTTGGGCCGTGCTGCAGACGGCAGCCAGCGCTAATTGTAGCACCAGCAGAGCCCATCTCCCTGTGCCATCCTAATCGTGGTGCTGCTGGGGTGCCCTTAGGTGCTGGGATGGATCTGGGACAGGATGGTGCTAAGTAGCCCCTTTGCTGCCCTGCTGTTGCCCCTGTGCTGGCCACAGACCACTCTTGGTCCGTGTTGCTCTAGATCAGCCTCAATCTATAGGAGAACCATCTGCCTCTTGCCCTCTGGGTCCCCTCTCTGGTACCTGTCCAGGTGATGACCCCATCCTAAGGAACATGGTCTCCAAGTGGCACTGGTCCTCTTGTCCCAGCTCCTGCTGTTCTCTCCATGGCTGCTGTTATGCCTTCCCATGCAGGGCTGTGCCTGTTCCCCTTTCCCTCCTGCCCCATTAATCAGCTGCTCCGTACCTTGGCATCCCGGTGCGTAATAAACAACTTAGAGCCCATGTTTATGGATTCAGCTATATCAGCAGCTTTCACGACAATCACATTTTTACAGCGTCTACATGAGGGTTTTTTATTGTTGCAATTATTTTGCTTTATATACTCCCTTCTCCTCCTTCCCTGCCAGCTGGTGCCGCGCAGGAGCTGCTGTATGGGGTGGAGGCTGTGGGGTCACAGGATCCTATGGGAGGAGAGGGTGAATGGGGAGCTGAGAAACTCCCAAATGCCACTGTGATGGGCTGGGTGTGCTGCAGGAGAGCAGAGCCTTGCGGTCCCTGCCCCCCATGGTATATAGAGGGGGGGTGCTGATGGCTGTCACTCTGGCCTGCTTCTCCCCAGACGTGGGTGGCCCCGCCGATCCCATCGCACCCACCATCATTGTCCCACCCAGGAACACCAGCGTGGTGGCCGGGACCTCAGAGGTGACCATGGAGTGCGTGGCCAACGCCAGGCGAGTAGCAGCAGGGATGGGATGGGGCTGGGGGACCCCCATCAGCACTGCAAACCCAGGGGTGAAGTGTGCCGTGGGGTAGAAGGAGGTATGGGACACAGGGGGGCTGGCTCATGGCATCCTCCTGCACCCCCACTCCCCAGGCCACTGATCAAGCTGCACATCATCTGGAAGAAGGATGGCGTGCCCATCTCCAGTGGCATCAGTGACTACAGCCGCCGGCTCACCATCCTCAACCCCACGCTGGGTGACAGTGGCTACTATGAGTGCGAGGCTGTGCTGCGCAGCAGCAGTGTGCCTGCTGTGGCTGAGGGTGCCTACCTGTCCGTGCTGGGTGAGGCACTGCCGTGCATGCAATGAGTGAGGCCGGGCTCAGCCCCTCAGGATGGGTGTGGAGAATCCCAGTGCTAACGCTGCCTGTCTCCGTGTTTCCCTTTTGCAGAGCCCCCGCAGTTTGTCAAGGAGCCAGAGAGGCACATCACAGCTGAGATGGAGAAGGTGGTGGCCATCCCATGCCAAGCCAAAGGTAAACTGCACTCTGTGCCTGTTGTGATCTCGTACCTACCATGTCCCTATGCCTGACACAACCTGGTCCTTTCAGGTGTGCCACCTCCCGACATGGCCTGGTACAAGGACGCATCTCTCATCCATCCGGAGCAGCTGTCCCGCTTCCAGCTGCTGGCAGATGGCAGCCTGCAGATCAGTGGGCTGCTCCCTGATGACACTGGCATGTTCCAGTGCTTCGCCCGCAACGCGGCCGGAGAGGTGCAGACCACCACGTACCTGGCTGTGACCAGTAGGTATCAGCCCCCCTGTCCCGGAGCCCAGGATGCCCTGCATGGGATGGGACCCCCTAGACAGGGACAGACCCCTTTGCCAAGACTAAGCACTGGGAAGAGCTTCACGGGTATCTGTGCATCTCTTTGCTCCATAGGCATCGCCCCCAACATCACGAGGGGTCCCCAGGACAGCACGGTGATCGATGGCATGTCTGTAATCCTCAACTGTGAGACCTCGGGGGCTCCACGCCCAGCCATCACCTGGCAGAAAGGTACAGGGGTTGGGGGCATGCCTGCATTGTCCAGGGGGTCCTTGGCAAGCTCGTTGCGCAGGGCTCGGCCAAACCTTCATCGTCCTGGTTTGGTCCTGAGCACGTGGCCACTGGGCTTGGCTGATGGCTGTGAGTGACAGACCGCCTTGTGTCCCCCAGGGGAGCGGATCCTGGCCAGTGGCTCGGTGCAGCTCCCGCGCTTCACCCTGCTGGAGTCAGGCAGCCTGCTCATCAGCCCAGCACACCTGGCTGATGCCGGCACCTACACCTGCCTGGCCACCAACTCCCGTGGTGTAGACGAAGCTTCCGCTGACCTGGTGGTCTGGGGTAAGGTGCCTGCATTGCAGGTAACACTCTGCTAGGTGCAGTGCCAGGGATGGGCACTAGAACGTGGCTGCTTTGCTTGGAGGGATGCTAAGACTTGCACCCATGTGGCAGCCTGTGACACTGTCCCCAGTCCTATTAGCTGGGTGGCTCTACCCCTGCACCAGCGCCTTGCAGCCCCTCAGGCAGTGCCGTTCCCTCATCCTTTCCCCCCACAGCACGGACACGCATCACCGACCCACCGCAGGACCAGAGTGTCATCAAGGGCACCAAGGCCTCCATGAGCTGCGGCGTCACCCATGACCCCAGTGTGGATGTCAGGTGGGGGTCGGGGCCAGGGGATGGAGCAGGATGCGCTCTGTGCTGGCACTCAGTGGTCCTGCAGTGCCACCTGGTGCCGTCTGCACGGGAATCCTGGCACCGGGTCTCCCCTGCTGGGAGGCTGCAGGGTGCCAGGACCCCGTTGGGTTCCCACCTGGCACAGGTACGTCTGGGAGAAGGATGGTGCACCACTGGGCACGGAGAGCGGCCCCCGGCTGCGGCTGGACGAGGCGGGCACGCTGCACATCTCCCAGACCTGGTCGGGGGACATCGGCACCTACACCTGCAAGGTGCTCTCGGCTGGTGGCAATGATTCACGCAGTGCCCACCTTCGTGTCCGGTGAGACCCCCCACCCCATGGGTGCTGTGTGCCCTGCTGTGCCCCCAGCCCTAACCGCCGTGTCCCCCGCCCCGTCCAGGCAGCTCCCCCATGCCCCCGAGAGCCCTGTGGCCATCTTGAGCCCCCTGGAGAAGCGGGCCATCAACCTGACTTGGGCCAAGCCCTTCGATGGCAACAGCCCCCTGCTGCGTTACCTCGTGGAGATCTCTGAGAACAGTAAGGGGCTGTGCCCACCTTCCAGACCCTGGGGTTGTCCCCGTGGTGGTGGCTCAGCTGTCCCCATCTGGAGATGTGGGCTAAAGCCTGGTCTCTATCATCACACTGGGAAGGGAAGAGATGCTGCGTGGAGCTTGAGGACTGTGGGACTGCTCAGCCAGTGGGCAGGGGATGCAGGAACCTTGAAAGCTGTGTTCTCTACCTGCTTACCACTTTCTCCCCACAGATGCACCCTGGACAGTGCTGCTAGCCAGCGTTGACCCCGAGCTGACATGGGTGGTGGTGCGGGGATTGGTGCCTGCACGTTCCTACCAGTTCCGCCTGTGTGCTGTCAACGATGTGGGCAGGAGCCAGTTCAGCAAGGACACAGAGAGGTGAGTGGCAGTGGGGGGACATGTGTCTGCGGGTGGGCTGAGTGCTCATCCTCACCTGGTGCCCCTCAGAGTGTCTCTGCCCGAGGAGCCACCCTCTGCACCCCCCCAGAATGTCATTGCCAGCGGCCGCACCAACCAGTCCATCATGATCCAATGGCAGCCACCTCCTGAGAGCCACCAGAATGGTGTCCTCAAGGGCTACATCATCCGGTAGGTGCCTGTGGGGGAGCGCGGGCACCCTGTCCCCACTGTCCTGGGGTGCAGTGCTGATGGCAGCTGGTCCCTAGATACTGCCTGGCCGGGCTGCCCGTGGGCTACCAGTTCAAGAACATCACCAATGCTGATGTCAACAACCTGCTCCTGGAAGACCTCATCATCTGGACCAACTATGAGATCGAGGTGGCGGCGTACAACAGCGCTGGCCTGGGGGTGTACAGCATGAAGGTGACAGAGTGGACGCTGCAGGGAGGTAGGCAGGGCTGGGCAGGGCTTGGTGGTAGCACTAGTGGGGTGGGGCTTGGCTGGCCCTGCTGTGCCACAGGGGTGATGGGGATGGGCTTCAGGAGGATGGGTGGGGGGTTCCAGGGATGAGCATAGGGACCAAGCATTGGGCATGACCCCAAAATGAGGTGCCTGGGTTCCCTATGCTGAGGGAGGAGACCCAGTAGAGCCAGAGCTGCTGCCAGCATGCCCTCCATCCTTACAGTGCCTACTGTGCCCCCGGGCAACGTGCAGACTGAGGCCACCAATTCCACCACCATCCGCTTCACCTGGAACCCCCCCAGCCCCCAGTTCATCAACGGCATCAATCAGGGCTACAAGGTGAGGGGTTACTTGCAGATCTCCCTGAAAAGTGTGCAGCAGGAAGCCCCTTGGCCAACCCACATCATGCAGCGTGACTCCTCCTTGCAGCCCCCCCCAGATATCTTAATGGATTCCAGCCCAACTGTTAAAACAATATTTACTGAGATTTAACACTTGCATGGTCTTGGAGTCTCTGTAATTAATTGCAGTTTGCAATTAATTCAAATTTACGTTAATTAAATTGAATTGAAACATTAAACTTGTTTCTTAATCCACTCAAAAGAAGTTCAGGAATTTAATTGCCGCTGAATGAGATAACCAGAGCAAGTAGGATATTTAACATTCTTATTAAATGCCACTTAGTATTTTTGATTAGTATTTTTAGGGCCTAATTAGTATTTAATTAAGTTGCTATAGGCCATCTTGCACAATACCAATTAAATGCCCAAACATACTTCCTAAACGAAGGCAAGCTGGTGATTACGTGCTGTTATCAATGGGAGTTAATCACCAAGTGTGTGCTCCACATCGGCTTGTAAGGGTAAACACGTACCGGTTAGACAGCACCAAGTGCTCCCTGCATCATTAATTGATATTTAATCAACGCTGAATAAATAAAGGGGGCTGGGGACGCTCAGAGGATGGCGCTGGTGTGGTGGGGACCATGGTGTCTGTCCAAGCACCTTCTTACCTTCCAACGTGGAAGGGTCCTTTCCAACTTGGGATATTCTGTGATTCTGTGATTCCTGCAGCTTATCGCCTGGGAGCCTGAACATGAGGAAGAGGCGACGGTGGTGACGGTGCGACCCAACTTCCAGGACAGCGTCCACGTGGGTTATGTGGTGGGGCTGAAGAAGTTCACTGAGTATTTGACATCGGTGCTGTGCTTCACTACGCCGGGGGATGGCCCGCGCAGCCCGCCCCAGCTGGTGCGCACCCACGAGGACGGTACGGGGAGGCTCTGTGCGCCCCAGGGTGGCAGTGAGCAGCCCAGTGATTTGGGGCTGGTCCTGCTGGTGCTGGGGAGGATGTGGCATGGGGTGCCCATGAGCCCTGGGAAGCCCTATGCCTGGGGAACCCGCTCCGTGTGGGGTCCTGTGGGCTCCCGTGGGTGCGTGGCTGCGTGCTGAGCCTGGGTGTCTTTGGGCAGTGCCTGGCCCTGTGGGACACTTGAGCTTCAGTGAGATCTTGGACACATCCCTGAAGGTCAGCTGGCAGGAGCCCCTGGAGAAGAATGGTATTCTGACAGGTAGGGATGCTGAGCCCCAACTCTGCAGCATCTGCCTGCATCAACCTCACAACATCTTCCTCCGATCCCTGACCTCACAGCAACTTGCCCTCCAACCCCGCAACATGACCCAGCCCCACAGCATCTCCCTATGCCCTGCTCAGCCCCACGGGGTGGGTGACTGGGGGCTGATGGCACGGGGTGTGCTTCAGGCTACCGGATCTCCTGGGAGGAATACAACCGCACCAACACACGGGTGACCCACTACCTGCCCAACGTCACGCTGGAGTACCGTGTCACCGGCCTCACTGCCCTCACCACCTACACCATCGAGGTGGCTGCCATGACCTCCAAGGGCCAGGGCCAGGTTTCTTCCTCCACCATCTCCTCGGGAGTGCCACCAGGTGAGCGTGGTGGTGTGGGAGCATCATGGGATGCAGTGGTGTTGGGGACGAGCAGCTGGTGCCACCCACCCTGCACTGTCCCTGCAGAACTCCCTGGTGCCCCCACCAATTTGGGCATCTCCAACATCGGTCCCCGCTCCGTTACCCTCCAGTTTCGCCCGGGTTATGATGGCAAAACCTCCATCTCTCGCTGGCAGGTGGAGGCACAGGTATGGGATGGCTGTGGGGTGGCAAAAGGGGTGCCAGGGGGTCAGCTCACCCCACTGCCTTCCTGCAGGTGGGCCAGAATGGTGAGGCTGAAGAGTGGGGGCTCGTCCACCAGCTGGCTAATGAGCCTGATGCCCGCTCCATGGAAGTGCCCAATCTGAATCCCTACACCTACTACAGGCAAGTGGCCAGGGCTGTGCCATCCTTCCCAGGGGACCAGAGCACCCCTCTCCCCGCTGTGACCCCGCTCTCCCCTCTCAGTTTCCGCATGCGGCAGGTTAACATCGTGGGCACCAGCCCCCCCAGCCAACCCTCCAGAAGGATCCAGACCCTGCAAGCCCCCCCGGATGTGGCACCTGCTAATGTCACCTTGCGGACAGCCAGTGAGACCAGCCTGTGGCTGCGATGGATGGTGAGGGTGGACCCTGAGGGTCTGCACCCACGGGCACAGTGCCCATTGGGGCAGCCTGGAGTGGCTGTAGGACACTGGGAATGATGGTGACTGTTTGTGCCAGCCCCTCCTGGAGCAGGAGTACAATGGGAACCCCGACTCGGTGGGCTACCGGATCCGCTACCTGCGCTCGGATGGGCGAGGGCGGGCAGTGATGCACACCATCCATGACCGTGTGGAGCGAGAGTACACCATCGAGGACCTGGAGGAGTGGACCGAGTACCGGGTGCAGGTCCAAGCCTTCAATGCCATTGGCTCAGGGCCCTGGAGCCATTTGGTGCTGGGACGAACGCGGGAGTCAGGTACCAGCAGCTCCCACCGGCTCAATGCTGACCTGCACTTGTTCTTAGTGCTGACCTTTCATTGTCATCTCCCCCAGTGCCCTCCTCTGGCCCCAGCAATGTGTCAGCACAGGCCACGTCTTCCAGCAGCATGCTGGTGCGATGGAGCGACATCCCTGAGGCGGACTGCAACGGCCTCATCCTGGGCTACAAGGTGAGCAGCTACACCAGCCCCAGTGCTTGTGCCCTGCCCCAGGAGCCACAACTTGCCCGGGCTGTGCTACCTCTGAGATCCTGTGCTGCTCCACCCTGGGGGACCCGGGAAGCCCAGCTGTGTCACATGGGTTTGTTTCAGGTGATGTACAAGGAGAAAGATTCAGAGGCACGTGCCCAGTTCTGGCTGGCAGAGGGCAATGCCTCCCGCAGTGCCCAGCTGACAGGGCTGGGCAAGTTCATGCTGTACGAGATCCGCGTGTTGGCCTTCACCAGGATTGGGGACGGCGTGCCCAGCCGGCCCCCTGTCCTCGAGAGGACTCTGGATGATGGTGAGTGCCAGAAGGGCAGAAAGATCCCAAGAGAGTGAGGGGGGTACCCAGGGTTCCTAAGGTCATGCCATCCCATCTCTTCCTATCTCTGCTTCCTGGGGCTTCTCTAACCTGGACACACAGGATGCCATCCCCAGAGGATGGGGACGGTTGTTATCTGCATAGGGCCGGGCATTTTGCACTCACTCGTGTGCTACATGGTGAACCTCACCTCTCTCATTCCAGTACCTGGGCCTCCTGTGGGGATGCTGTTTCCTGAAGTGAGAACAACCTCTGTGCGCCTCATCTGGCAGCCGCCTGCAGCCCCCAATGGCATCATCCTGGGTAGGTGGGAGCTGCTGTGGCCATGCCATGATGCTCTGTGGTGGGATGCAGAGAGCCTGTGGGAGCCAGGAGCAATATGGGAGAGGCAGAGGCCAGCTCCCTGCCACCTTTGAGCATCTCAGAACCCGTTGCCCCCCACATCAGCAAGCTCAGCCCCAAACATAGCAGGGAATGATTCCCTCACTGCTGGTTCGGAGTGGAGCAAGGATGGAGGGGAGGCAAAGGGGACTGCTGAGGGGCTGTCCTCCATGGTGCCACCCCCATCCCTGCAGCGTACCAGCTCACCCACCGCCTTAACACCACCACGGCCAACGCGGCTGTCAGCGAGGTGCTGGGCCCCAGCACACGGCAGTACACGGCCACTGGCCTGCAGCCCGAGGCCACCTACCTCTTCCGCGTCGCGGCACAGACCCGCAAGGGCTGGGGAGAGGCAGCTGAAGCCCTCGTGGTGACCACAGAAAAGAGAGGTATGAGGGGGTCCAGCCTGCGGCTCGGCATGTCGGTGCTGTGCCCGCAATGCTCCCAGCTCCCTGCCTCCCCCAGATCGCCCGCAGCCCCCCAGCAAGCCGCTGGTGCGGCAGGAGGATGTGCGTGCCCGCAGTGTTCTTCTGTCCTGGGAGCCGGGCAGTGATGGGCTCTCCCCCGTCCGCTTCTACACGGTGCAGACCCGTGAGCTGCCCAGCGGTGAGTGGGCACTGCACCCTGTTTCCATCAGCCATAATGCCACGGCCTTCATCGTGGACAGGTGAGGCACGGAATGATGCCAAGTCGTGGTGGGGCTGCTGAGGGATGGGCTCTGCTTTGAGCACTCGACCAGTGCCTCGGTTTCCCCGCCTGATGGGAAGTGCTTGCAGCACGGTTGTGAAGCACTGTGGGAGGGATGGAGCCCAAGGAATGCCTACTGGCCTCACCATCCCCATCCTGCTCTGTTCCCATGCAGGCTGAAGCCCTTCACCTCCTACAAGTTCCGTGTGAAAGCGACGAATGACATTGGGGACAGCGAGTACAGCGAGGAGTCAGAGTCACTCACCACCCTGCAGGCAGGTCGGTGCCCGTGAGGGCTGGGGGTGGTGCTGTGCCTTCCTGCATGGCACTGACATGGTAGCATCAGGTGTCCTGCATGTCTCTGAAGCCTTATCACCTGCTTCTGCCCCGCAGCCCCCGAGGAAGCCCCCACCATCCTCTCTGTCACCCCACACACTACCACATCCGTGCTCATCCGCTGGCAGGTATTGTCCCTGTGGAGGTGGCACCGAGGGGTGGCAGTGCCATGCAGCACTCCATGGCTCTCCAAGGCTGGGCACTGGGTACAAGGCACCCTGCTGAGGCTGGGGACAGCCATCTCAGGGGGTGCTGGCTCAGAGCAGCCCCTCACCTTCCCCACTCTACAGCCCCCATCTGAGGACAAGATCAATGGGATCCTGCTGGGCTTCCGCCTCCGCTACCGTGAGCTGCTGTACGACAGCCTGCGTGGCTTCACCCTGCACAGCATTGGCAACCCTGGCGCCACGTGGGCTGAGCTCACCCGTGAGTGTTTGTGGCCTCGGGAAGCACAGGGACATGTGGGGCACAGTGGTGGTGGGTGGGGGACAGCAGGGCAGTGTCCTGCATCACACACTTTGCACCAGTGTTCAGTGCTGGGTACCATTCTGGAGCCCAGCTGTGACCTGTAGAGCTGTCACCTCTGTGCCATCGAGTCAGACTGTCTCTAACGCGCTGTGCTGTGCTGTGCTGGCTGAGTCCTGCTGTGCTCAGACCCCTCTGTGCCTGTCAAACGTGTGTCCATACGTGTGCATGTAACACGGGTGTCTGTGTGATGTTCCCGCTGTGCGTGTGCTGCCATCCTCAGGCCCTGGAGGGAATGGGGTCACAGCTGCTTTAGGAACAACGGGGACATGAGGGATGAGGGTAGAGCCCAAGACTGCTCCCAGCAGCAGTTGATCCCCCATGGGGACCTTGATGCCCAGATCCTGCTTGTCCCACTCATGGGATGGGGGGACTGAAGGGCTCCTCAGTGCTGTGACAGCCCTCAAAGGTGATGGGCTCCTTATGGGGTACCGTGGATGGGAGGCAGTGCTGGGAGAAGGACTAACACTGCTTGCTTTCACCACTCCGTGCCACCCAGCTGTCTACACCGTGCACAACCTCAGCGAGGTGTCCCTCACCCAGTACGAACTGAACAGTAAGTCACTGCTCCCTGTCCTCCCACACTGCCACCCCCTGTGTCTCTCCCCTCTGTCTGCCTGTTCTATGAGGTGAATCCTCATGTTCTGTGTCCAGGGGACACCTCTGCTTGTCTGCTGCCACTGCCCCTTGGGAATACTCTCCTGTTTCCTGGAGAGGGGTTTTCTGTGGGGTCCCTTGGGAAGGTGGCCTTCTGCTCACCCCCATCTCCTCTCTCCCCACAGACCTGAGCAAGCACCGGCGCTACGAGATTCGCATGAGTGTGTACAATGCAGTGGGTGAGGGACCCCCCAGCCCTCCCCAAGAGGTCTTTGTGGGTGAAGCAGGTGAGTTTGCCAGAGGGGGCTGGAACATCCTGGTACCCCATTCTGCCCTGTGTCCCTATGTCCTCCTTGCATTCCCTCTTTACAGCCTTAATGGGTCATTGCATATCGAGGGGGGCTTTTCCCCCACCTTGGTCATAGCTGGGCTGTGACACTGCTCCCTCCTTCTGCACAGTGCCCACTGGAGCACCGCAGAACGTGGCCGTGAAGGCAGCCACTGCCACCCAGCTGGATGTCACCTGGGAGCCACCACCTGCTGAGACCCAGAACGGGGACATCCAGGGCTACAAGGTACCAGGTTCCATCACCTGAGAGTTGGCACTGAGCTGGGGCTGCGGGACACTGGGGCCACGGGGAGGACGTGGGGAGGTGCTGTGCGAGTGTTGTCGGAGGGTGCTGGGTACCCTGGTGAGAAGCTGGGTACCTGGCTGGGTTCCCAGGAAGATGCTATGCGTGCCGACAGGGAAGGGATCTGGGGACGTGCCGGGTGGCCCTGCCCGCCTCTGAGCACCAGAGGGCGCCTTCGGTCCTCGGATGCGCTCGGTCCCCGATGCGGGATGCTGCTGGGGATCTGATAGGGTCACTGATAGGGATGCAGCCGGGCTGCCCTTCCTTACACTCTAGATCCGCATCCATTATGATTCCTCCTTCCCAATCCTGTCCTTTGAGATTTGGGCACAGCTCAGAGGTGATCCCAGCACTACTGATGTGCAGTTCAGTGATGCTTGTCCCTGAGCCAGCTGCGAGCAGCGGTCTGTCTGATGCCTGGCATTGCCTGGAGCCATGCTGGAGGCATGCTGGAGGGGGACTGGGTTTTCCTTCTGGCATACCCAGAGCTCTAGCCACTCCAGGATGGGGGGCTTAAAGTAGGGCTGTGCCAGCTGGCTGAGCACCACAAGGCTTTGGTGGGGAAGAGGAATGATTTGGCATCACTCACACCAAGCTGGGGTGTCAGTGCCACCTCTTCTAAACCTGCAGATCCACTTCTGGGAGGCGCAGCGGCAGAATGAGAGTGCACGGGTGAAGACACTCTTCCTGCCCGAGACTGGGGTGAAGCTGAAGAACCTGACGGGATACACCTCCTACTGGGTCAGCATCGCTGCCTTCAATGCAGCTGGAGATGGACCCCGCAGCACCCCAGTTACGGCCCGGACACAGCAGGCAGGTGGGGCCATGGCACAGCTCCACAGGGCAGTGCTGGGGGCTGATGTGGTGTTGGAGGCTCCTCAGGAGCACTGAGCTGTCCTTGCCCTCCCCGCCACATTCCCTTGCAGCCCCCAGCGCCCCCGGCTCCATCCGATTCAGTGAGCTGACCACCACATCAGTGAACGTGTCCTGGGAGCCACCACCGCTGCCCAATGGCATCCTGGAGGGTTACAGGCTGGTCTATGAGCCCTGCATGCCCGTGGACGGTGAGGGCACAGCGGGGGCATCCGAGGGGACTCGGGGGGGTCCCGGCTCAGCGTCCATCCCTGCAGGTGTCAGTAAGATTGTGACGGTGGATGTGAAGGGGAACAGCCCGCTGTGGATGAAGGTGAAGGACCTGGCTGAGGGCATCACCTACCGGTTCCGCATCAGGGCTAAAACCTTCGCCTATGGACCAGACGTTGAAGCAAACATCACCACAGGGCCAGGGGAAGGTAGTGGGGGGCTGTGGGAGTGCTGGGGTGACAGAGGAGCTATGGCTGGGGACACTTCCCCGGTGCTCACCCCCCATGTGGGTCCCATGTGGGTTGTCCCCTTGTGCCACCAGCTCTGCTCTGGGTCCCCAGGTGCCCCTGGCCCTCCTGGAGAGCCCTTCATCTCCCGCTATGGCTCAGCCATCACCATCCATTGGACGAGCGGAGACCCCGGCCAAGGACCCATCACAAGATACGTCATTGAAGCTCGGCCTTCAGGTACTGCAGCTCCACCAGTGGTGTTCTGGGCTTAGGGAAACTGAGGCAGGGAGCACCAGCTCTTTCTGGACATGCAGTGGGCTGGGTTAGGGGTTAGGAGCTGGTGTTGGCCATATGCTTGCCCTGAGAATGATAATAAGGGATAGATGGAAAGGGTTCAAGCAGTTCAGATTTCACAGTCATAGAAGTCATGGTGTCCCCTCAGCCAGGGGAATTGGACCAAAGAGTACTGAGGCCATCCTGAACTGGGGGGGCTGCTGGACAAGAGTCCCCATTTCTGCAGCAGGGAGCTGGGGGCACAGCTGCTCTTTCTCCTCTATCCTGGCACTAATGACTTCTCCGTGCTGTGGATCACAGCACAGATGATCTGACCAATTGTTAATGGGGAGCTGGTGCTGTGTGGTTGTGTGCTCCCCAGGGAGCTGCCTTGCCCTTGACCACGAGGGGGGTGGTGATAAATCAACTCTGTGGGATGCTACGGCATGTTAATGATGCTGCAGCGAGCGAGCTTGGCTCCAGATGGCAGAGGGCATGCTCCCAGTGTGGGTGTGGGGAGGAGAATGGGAGAGGGGCTGCAGATGGACATGTTCCCTGCCTGGGTTTTAAGGGGAAATCAATTCACCCTCCCATCCCCTTCTCTCCTCCAGATGAGGGGCTCTGGGACATCCTCATCAAAGACATTCCCAAAGAAGTGACCTCCTACACCTTCAGCATGGACATCCTGAAGCAGGGGGTCAGCTACGACTTCCGTGTCATCGCTGTCAATGATTATGGCTATGGGACTCCCAGCACACCATCCCCCTCTGTCTCAGGTAGCCACAGTGGTACCCCCAGGGGATGCTGTCTCCTCCTGCTTATCCCCATTTCACGAGCTTGAGCCTCCTGGGGTCCCCTTATCCATACCAGTTTGCCCACCCCTGCCAGTCCCTTTCTGATCCCCTCCCATGCTGTGCCCCAGCCCAGAAAGCCAACCCCTTCTATGAGGAGTGGTGGTTCCTGGTGGTTATTGCCCTGGTGGGGCTCATCTTCATCCTCCTGCTCGTCTTCGTGCTCATCATCCGCGGGCAGAGCAAGAAGTATGCCAAGAAGTCAGACTCGGGTGAGTGCTGGGGTTCTGCTGTCCTGGGGTGGTGACAGTGGTGGGGATCTGCTGGGGACATCAGGAGGGATGATGTGCCTGTGTGATGGGGAGGCTGCGTGCTGGGCAGGGAGAAATTGTCTGGGGGCTGCAGAGCCCTGCCCCATATCAGAGTCTCTCTAGGGCATCCCTGCTTGCTTTTGGGGTCTGAGTGGGGTGGTGAGCACCCAAAGCAGCATCCAGCGTGCCTCAGGGTGACTGCTCCAGGGCTCTTCTGATGTCCCAGGAAGTTGCTGCATGCTACATGGAGAGTGCTGGGAGCTGAGGATTAAATAAACGGCTTGTCTTGCTGTCAGCTGTGGAGTCAGGGCAGCTCAGGGGCTCGGCAGAGGTCACTGGGATTAGTCAAACACAGCCCTGTTTTCTTAGCTGTATCAAGGGCTCAAATTGTGGGGAAAATCCAGACCTCCTCGTTAAGCAAACAGCCGCTGAGCTGGAGGCAGCACAGCAGGGCAGAGTGTGAGCCAAAGCTTGGCTCTGCTGGGGGCACAGAGCATCTCATGGGTGTTCCCAAACTGCACTGTCCTCAGTGTGGCCATGGGTTGGATAGGGGATGGGGCTGAATCACCCCATGCTGCTTCCCCATTTGGAGGGCTCAGGGAGCCTGAAGGATGCTGAGTCCCTGTCCTACAGGGAATGGCTCTAAGGCAAACGCCCTGACCCACGGTGAGATGGTGAGCCTGGATGAGAGCAGCTTCCCTGCCCTGGAGCTCAACAACCGGCGCCTTTCCGTCAAGAATTCCTTCTGCAGAAAGAATGGCATCTACACTCGGTAGGGGCCCATGCCATGTGGCTGGTCAGACATCGTGCCCATGGGCACAGTCCTGGGGGGGCTCTTGCTGTGTTCACGGGCATCCTGCTGTGTCCCTGAGCTGCTCCTGTGCTGAGCACCTGCCTGTCCCCAAGGTCCCCGCCGCGCCCCAGCCCCGGCAGCCTGCACTATTCGGATGAGGATGTGACAAAGTACAACGACCTGATCCCTGCCGAGAGCAGCAGCCTGACGGAGAAACCTTCTGAGGTCTCCGACTCCCAGGTACCACTGCACAAACAGGGCTGGGATGTGGGGGTTCAGGGGCTGGGAGAAAGATGAGCACTGCTGGGAGCTCTCCTTACGCATCTTCCCCACACTGTGCAGATCCCGGGGCGTGTTTGGGAACAGCACTGCCTGTCCCGTGCCCCATCCTGCCCTTAAGCAGTGCTTCCCCACGGCCTCGTGGCACAGATCCAGTGGGAAGCTGGCACGGCCACTGATCCGTGTGCAGGGGATGTGGCACTGCAGGGGACAGCGCGGGGTTGGGGACTGTCCTGCTGCCCGATCACTGATGGCAACGGCCGCAGCTCTGCCAAGCCCGCAGAATGGCACTGTTGTGTCCTCGTGGAGCAGCGGGCAGCTGTGGTCGGGCAGGAGCACAGCCCTCAGGGAGCACTGAGCATCCCCCCAGGGGCCGGATGCTGCAAAGCAGCGACAAAGGGGAGACCGAAGGCTGGGGGTCGGGAGGGAGGTCCCTGCGGCACAGCCCTGTCCTCAGGCAGGGTCAGCCCCGAACCCCCCTTTCTCCACCCACACCGATTCCTTTGGCGGATCCCAGCCCCGCTCCCTTCTGCGGGGATCGAGTGTCTTTGAGGAGCTGTGAAGAGCGGCGAGAGCCGAAAGCTGGCGCGGTGCTGCTTCCCCGCCGCCCCTCAATGGGCCCTTTGTGCGCGCCGAGGAGAAGCTGAATCCAATTACCGCGAGCAGGAGGCAGGCGGCCGCCCGCCAGCACCCCCGTCCTCACACCCAGGGGACAACGGGGCCCCAGGGCCACGCAGCCCTTTTGTGCGAGGTTTTATTTCGCTTTAGCAGAAAGCAGAACCGCCCCTGCGGTGCTGCAGCCATTCTCACCCCCTCCATCTTTTGGGAAAGCTCTCCCCATCTTTGATGATCGTGAGGGGTCCCTTCCAGCTTGGGGATACTCTGTGATTCTGTGGCGATGAGCGGCTCTGCCCCACGTTCACTCTTTGCACTGTCCCTTAGGGCAGCGACAGTGAGTACGAGGTGGATCCGGGTCACCAGAAAGCCCACTCCTTTGTCAACCACTACATCAGTGACCCCACCTACTACAACTCGTGGAGGAGGCAGCAGAAGGGCATCTCACGGGCGCAGGCGTACAGCTACACCGAGAGCGACTCCGGGGAGCCCGACCACACACCCCTCTCCAACAGCACCTCCACACAGCAGGGCAGCCTCTTCCGGCCCAAAGCCAGCAGGACTCCCACCCCACAGACCCCCGGCAACCCCCCCAGCCAACCTGGCACCCTGTACCGCCCACCCAGCAGCCTGGCCCCCGGCTCCAGAGCCCCCATTGCTGGGTTTTCCTCTTTTGTTTGATATTTAAAGGGGAGCAGAAGAAAACTACACGAAACAAAGGAGCAAAAAAAACAAAACAAAACAAAAATATGAAAAAAAAAAAAGGAAAAAAAAAAAAAAAGAATCCACGAAATCAAGGAAATAAGCGTCAAGGTGGAGAAGAGGATGGAGATGTTGAGAGCCTGAGGAGGGGCTGCTCAGGTTCAGGCTTTGTCCTTTTCTCAGCAGGACTTGGAGCAGGATGCCAAGGGACAGTGCTGAAGCTGGGGGGCAGAACCCAGCTCCCCTTTTTGGCCAAAGCTTTCTGTGTTGAGGACTCTTTGGCCGGAGGCTGCAGAGGGGCCCTGGATGTGCTGTGTGGGCCCAACTTATGGGTCCCACAAGGATGCAGGAATGGGTGGTGATGCAGAGGAGACTGTGTGGGGAGAGGGGTTCTGTCTGTGTAAACCTCTGGGGGTGAAGCCCCCAGCCTGGACACTCTGAGAAATGGGGCCAGCAGCCATGTGGACAATGAATTGCCCTCTTTGTTCGCCCCTGGCCCAGCACAGCCCCCCAGCAGAGCTCCCAAGGGTGCAAGTGGTGCTGATGTCTCCTATGATTCGCACCCTGGAGAGGACTCAGTGGGGTGATGCAGTGACCGTGGCCGCTCCTCTGCCTCTCTGGCAGCGTGGAGGTGTTTTTATTTTAATTCTGTTTTGTGCAGAGGCCTGGGAGCCTAAGGGGCACACAGTGGTGGTGATGCCCAGGGTGCTCTGGGGCTGGAGAGGGGATGGTTTTGGTGCACTCTGCATAGCAAACCTCTCCCCTCTTCTATTGCCTGTTGGTGAGCCAGGCACCAGCTGGTGGGGCTGCACCGAGAGATGCCAATAAACAGCCTGAGGATGATCCTGTCTCACCTGTCTGTCACCGTGCTGCGCTGGAGAAGGAGCCAGTATGATTTGTCTGTCCATCCTGCTGCACTGACAGTCAGCCCTATGGCACAGCTCAACACACAGTTCCCTGGCTGGGGCTGCGTTCTCAATAGGACCATGGGGCTGGTGCCCAGTCCTTGCCTGGTTGCTGATGAGGAGTGTTTGTGCAAGTGCTGCTTCTGGGGACTGGTTGGAGCTGGGTGCGTGATGTGGTGCCCTCTCCACCTTTCCCCTGGGCTGGGGAGGAATGGGGGATGCTGCTCTCCAGCCATTGCCACCTGTGGGAGTGTTGTCCCTGCTTCTTCTTGTAACCATGTCCCGCAGCCAGCAGAGAGCAGGGGGCATTGCTGGCAGGTGACTCATCCAACCTACTTTGGAGCTGACACAGGCAGGGGCACAGGGGCAGTGGTGGTGTCTGTTCCATGGGCAGTGAGGAGGGAGATATCTCCTCACTTGAGTGCCGATGTTGGCAGGGGTGGGCTGGACAAATCCTGCTCCTTTTTTGTTGCCTGGCTTCAGTCCCAGCCTTGGGCAAGGGAATTCTTGCTCCCTGCAGGGTTGTGCTGAGAAGCCAAGCAAATCTGAACATCCCATGCAGGGGCTCCTTGGGAGCAGCTGTGAAGCAGCCAGCATCCAGAGCATGCCCCCATTGCAGGGCCAGAGGATGCACATCCTGGGGATGGAGATTGTCTCAGTTCCAGTGGTATTAGTGGCACATCTTGCCCATGCTGCCTCAATTTCCCTGTGGCACAGACACAACTCAGCCAGCTGCTCTGTGCTGACCTTGACGTGTTCCCCAGTGTGCACTTGGCTGGGTTCTGCAGTCTGCCAAGGGCAAGCGCTGTGCTTATCAGGGCTGGAACAGCCAAGGGGGACAGAGGGGAGAAGCTGAAACCCCAAACCTCTGCTGTACAGATCCAGGTCTGTGCATCCTGCCTGCAGTTCTGGGTGCTGTCACACTGTATGGGCTCTGTCACCTGTGGTGGTGCCAGGAGCACTGGGGTGGCTGCTGTGGGTTTTGGGTTGCTGGGTGGGTGGTGGACCAATCCTACAGCACTCCTGGTGAGGGAAGTGTGCTTGCTGGGAATGGTGGGGAAACCCTACCTGTGCTAAGCTCTGGCCTGCATCTCCTGCGGGTGTTGAGGTGCTTGCACACGGGTGTTGAGCATGCAGCACAATCCTGCTGGAGCACATGGGTCGGCTGGTTAAGTGGGTGGATGACACAAGGAAGGGGTGAGAGCCTATAGTTCTGGGCACAAGCTGATGCCTGTGGGGCTGGAAGGGGTGATTAGGGAAGTTTCTGGCCGTGGCCAGCATGCACACAGGCTCTGGGGCTGGGGGATTTGGGACACTTCCCACACCCTGCTGCAGCACTCGGATTCAGAAGAAACCAGACGGTTCTCCCAGAAGCATCTCTTGCATGGCCAAGGCAGCACCATCAGCAGAGCTGGCAGGCATTGATGTGCTGGCTGGGCTTGCTGGGGAGGAGGGGACTGGCTGCTGGGAACCCATTTTCCTTGGCTTTTAAAAACGCTTTACAATCTTTTCTTCACACTGCTTTCAAAAGCTGCTGAGAAGCACTAAAAGGAGCCAGCGATGGGTTCAGGGAGGGTCAGAGCCATCCAGCCACCCACTCCCGAGCCTCTGAGCATCCCCAACCCTGCTGCCATCTCCCCAGGGCCGGATCCTGTCCTGGGGGCTCTGCAGGAGAACAGGAGTGGGGGCAGCTCTGATAGCAGTGTTTCGGGTTCACTGGGTGCCCACTCTGCCCAGTCACAGCCCCACCAGCCCTCAGGTGCTGTCCCCAGCAGTGCTGTCTCGCTGGCAGCCGGCTGAGCTTAATTCCTTCTGACTGTGCTGTCTCACCCAGCACTGTGCTCCCATGACGGCATCAGGTGAGGCACGCATTGCTGGCAATGCAAGGCCTTCATCTGACATGAGCTGGCCTGGTAGCATTGATTTACCTGATAACGAGCCATGGGGGGGTCTTGGTGCATGTGGGCAGAGCCCCAGGATGGAGCCTCCTCTTCCACATCTACTCCAACCTGAAAAAGACAGGCCTGGTGCTTCGTGTTCTGCCTCAGTTTCCCCAATGCAAAGCAGGGAAAATCAAATTTGCTGACCAAACCGGCTATGAAAATGGCAGTGATATGAACAGAGGGAGCAGCATAGCCCAGGAGGAGCCTGCAGGAACCAACAGCAGTGCTGAACACCCACACCAGTGCAGTTGTTTTGGCCTCGGTGTTCAGCCCCCAACTCTGGCATTCTAACCCCACAGCATTGCACGTTACCCAGCCCTGCAGTGAGCAATATGGTTCTGGCTCATCCCATTCCCACGGATGGGCAGCATTAGGATGAACCATCAGAACGCCCAGTGCTGCCTGGTCCCAGATACAGCCCTGTGGGTTGGTGCTGCTGAACGCATGCAGCTGCATTTTGGGGAATGGAGCCACCCTGCACGTGGGATTCTCCTCTCATTGGTGACACCAGAAACCTTTGTGCCCTGGCACCGTTGTGCCACAGCAATGAGCTCCCGAGCACGTACGGCCACGGCATCTGGAGCCGTATCTCCCACTCGCCACCCCTTTATCCCCCGGTCTGGCTGCATGCACAGAGGCGCCAGACGCTTTGGAATATGCAAGAAACGCCGCATTAGGCAGATTCGGGATAATCTTGTCTCTCCCGCCCCTTTTCTCCCACAAAGGTCTTGCCTTAATCTCCGGCGGATGCTGCGCAGCCCTGAACCCTCAGCGCGGTGCCGCTGCCCCGCACCCATCGCGTGGGGCTGCCGAGGGGCTGGGGCTGCGGGGCTGGATGGGGACAGGCTGGGGACGGCAGAGGGCGAGTGGGGGCGACACGGCTGCGAGTGGTCAACGGTGCTCCACCGGGGCTGAGCCCATTGACTCCTGGCTGCTCAGTTCGGCTTTAATTCCCTTAATTAATTACAGCCTCCAGCCCCGGTTCCTACGCTGGGGGTGCGGGCTGCCCCCGCCCACTGCTGGGCCTGGAGGAGGGAGAACCGAGCTCCTGGCTGCCCCACGGGGGGAAGAGTCACACGCGTGGATGCCCGCACTCCGCATAGAGGATCTCTCTCTGGGGTTGGGGTATCCCAGGGAGGACCCCCAGAAAGGCCGCATCCAGGACAAGGGCTGACCACCCCCCAGCCCCACTCGGGTTTGAATGGAGGGAGTGGGGCAGCCCCGTGACGTTGCGCGGCTCCATTGGCCCGGGCGGGGCGATGACATCATTCGCGCCCGGCGGTAGTGGAGGGGGTGCGGTTTCGCTCCGGCTGGGCTCGGCTCGGCTCGGCTCGGCACCGGGCGGCACAGCCATGGGTCGGGCGCGGGACCCGGGCGCGCAGGTACGAGGGGGTCGGGCAGCTCTCCGGTACGGCTCAGCCCGGCACGGCTCGGAACGACGCGGCACGGGGGTGGGATGGCCGGGCCTTGGCTTTGCTATTGTCCGAGGGAGGGACGGGGCGCGGCGGCACCGGGGCAGGCACCGAGCTCGGACCGCTCCGCTCGGAGGGCCGTTGGGAAGCTCCGGGCCGTGCGGTGCCGGCTTCGTCGTGCGGATAGAGCTCCGGTAGGCAGGGAGCCCTGCGGGAGGGGTTCGGTAATCGGGAGCGGACCCGGGCTGTGGGGGCTGGCAGCGCCGTGGCCCCCACCTTCTCCCCCCTTCGAACCGGGAGCAGCGTTCGGGCTGCAACCGGTGGGGGTTCAGGCGGGTGGGATGCGGGACCGGGGGGGTCCGGAGCCGCCACCACCGCGGGTGGGGTCCCAGGGCTTTTCCGAGCCCTGTCCCAGCTCCAGGCCGGGTGGGTGAAGGAGTTAACAGGATGCGGCGCCTCCGGAGCTCTATTTGCCCAGCCTGGGGCACCGGTTCGCCCCGCCCGAGCTGCCGGCTCCGGCCCCAGGGCTGTCCCGGCCCTGGCACGGCTCGACCCGAACGCGCTGTCCCGGCCCGGTTCGCAGAGCCCCGCGGCGCGGTGCCCAGGCCGGGCTCTGATTGCCCACCCCGTCGAAGTCCCGAACGCTGCGCTCATGCGGCCCTTCTCGGAAACGCCGATCCTTGGAGCGGCTCCAGCCGCACCTCTGGACTCGCTGGGACGGGGCGAAGCGGGTGCTGAGTCACACAGAATGGCTTGAAATCCCCCTTCGGCTCTGCTTCCTGCAGTCGGGGATGGGTCAGGGTTTCCCAGCCGTCCCGTCCTACTCTCCTGTAGCGCTCAGCACTCCCGGGGGACGCATTCTGGGCATCCCGGGGGCTTTCTCAGCTCTGCAACTTGAGCGCGGGGCTCAGAAGCCTATTGCGGTGTGGGGAGGCGCTGCCAGAGGCGAGCTGGGGGGGTTGGAAGCTGCTGGTGGGGAGAGGGATGCAGCCTGCGCTGCCCTGGCTTGACCCCAGCAGCCCCGGTGTCGGTATGGATGTTTCCAAGTGCCGATCTATAGGCTGTTAACGCGGGAGCTGAGATCGTTAGCTGTCTGGGGGGTAAGGGGGGGGGAAACTGAGGCAGGGAGAGGGGCAGGGAGCGACGCACCGATCTCGGGACACGCAGTAAACAAATCTGTTTTGGACGCGGCTCCCTCGGAGACCGTGGAGCAAATCCAAGTGAGGTTTAATGCGGGGTATGTTCGTGAGGTTGGGTGCTGGTGTGGGAGGTGGGGGGGAAAGACTCCTATAGCGGGGGGCGGCCACCCCCTCGGTGCCACGCTGTGGGGTGAGCTGTGAGCAGCCCGGCGGCGTTGTGCTGACCGCGGCCGTCTCTCCCTTTGTTCGCTGGGTTTTGTCTGAGCGCAGGAAGCGCGGGGCCCCGAGCCGGCCGGTGGGGTTTGGGCAGGTGGGGTGTCGGGGTGAGCCGTGGGAAGCCGGGCTGTTTATTTCCCGTCCACCCCAGCGAAACCGCAGGAATTTGGAGCCTGGAGGAGGTCAGGAGGGTTGTTTAGCCCCGGTATCCTGTCAGACCCTGGCCAACCCCCGTTGATGCG